CGAAATCCGCGCCTGGGTGTCGACGCGCCGGTCAGATCCTCACCCCCTTCCTATCAAAAAAACAAGGCTTTCCCAAGGGTTGCTTGTGCATTGATCGAGGGAGGATATGAAAGAATTGCGATTTGGGCTGCTTCATGCACATCAAGGCCTGCAACTCCACTAAGGATTTCCACTGGGAATCCAGAATCCAGCATGATTCGGGTGAGGTAAACCACTGCAAGTGATTACCATGGGAGTTAGGGAGCTTCCCTTGGCATCGGGCTCTTTTAACGATGTTCTAAGTCCCTCAGTTTCTGGTTGCCACAGGCCACACATCTGCTGCCACAAACCATGTGCCGACGGGGGTCGGCACAGATTGTTTTGCACCACTTGAAGTGACCACCTCCTGCGCAGTCGCTTCCGCATGTGAGGCTGTCGGGAAAATAATCAACATCTACAAAGTTACAAGATGTTACAAGGACGGCAATCAGTTTTAAGGCTATTGATCGAGAGGCAACAACTATATATATATATAATTCTAAGCTGAGGTCTCTTCACGTGGCCAAGCGCTTCAGGCAAAACACGGCGAGTCCTCCTCGCTATCCTTGCCAGGATGCAGAACAAATTGATGTCCAAACTTGTCATCTACTAGCCCTGCTCCACACAACTGAGCATGAATATGCTTTTCCGTTGCACTTGTGCAATTCTCAAAACAAAGCTGCCGCAAAACCAAAACCGGCTCAAAGAGATAAACACTTCGTACTTCAAAGGCCATTTCAGCAAAGACTTGTAAAACAGATTGTGCATATATGACTCACATATATATATATATATTCTTCTTGTTATCTTTGATGAATTCCTCAAAAAGAAACTGATCTGTAGATTCTGCAGCCCCAGCCAGAATAGCCGTATAGAATGTAGCAACAAGTTGTTCTGGGATGTTCTAGGCCGATCAGCACGAACATGGGATCTAAAACAAACGTTGTTTGCCTTCCACCATGAGCGGTGTTTGAACAGATTTTTGTGAAAGACTTGATCCCTTCGGATGGTGATAAATTATCAGAAAAAATTAATGCAGGTGCAAAACAGCACAAATTTGCATAGCTTGAACCACGACACCCAATTTGGCCCTGTTCCTGAGCAAAACTCTACCATACTAAAGAATATGCATGTACTGCATCTTGCAACGAAACACAAGTTGTAGATTCAGCCCGACTTATCTCGGTCGTGCTCAAAACCTCAAATGATTGGAAGGTCCGGCGGGTCCATTCTTTCTCTCTCTCTCTCTTAGTCTTTGTCTGTGTGCGGCCCAGACTCATCATCCAAGCCTTGGTTGCTAGGCAACTCAAGACACCACGCTGGCACCCCACTGGAACCCCCACCTTGTCGCAGTCAAGGTGCCCATATGAAAGACCTCCTTGGTCGAACTGGATGGACTCTCTCGAGGAGGACTTGGAGAAGGGCTACCTGGCATAACGGCATAGCGCATTGGCCTACAGGTGTTAGTGTATACAATATACATATAGTTGTGTTGTCACTTCGGGGGGAAGAACAGCACCATGAGGTCTCCTGAGCACTCCCTGACTACTTGCCATTCCAAATCTGGAGCTGCCTAGAGGTGGGAAGAAAAGCACACAGTGTTTGAGGACCTGCCACTCTGAAGTTCAATAATCAGGTTTCTTGCCCTGCAACACTGGCATGTTGTCAAGCCTCGCTGGCTTCTTCGCCTGTTACTTGTCCGACCAAACTTGCACTACAACATACCGAGATGCTATACCAAAGCTGCTATATAATCTATACACCCTGGAAGACTAACCCTGAAAACCACTGGTTGGTAGAGAAAAACAATCTTCCAGCAGGCCATTGTCAGGGTCCATATTAGTTTTTGGGAGTGTATACCAACAAAGCCTTTCATTTGCTCTGGTAACGCCAGGCCACGGACACCCCGATACACCCCTGTTGGACGGTTCACCTCCCATGTTCTTCGTCTTGCCCCGGTAGAGCCCAGGAGTGTCCAAGGCAGCCAGAACTTTGGGATGTGCAAGGACATGTTGCCTTGGCCACAAACACGCCGTTTCGGGCTCAGGGCCACCGAGGGTGGAGCAAAATGCTTGTAGCGATATGCCCCCAGGGGGTGCGACAGCACAGGTCCGATGGTGTTGATGCTCGTGGGGGTGTTTCAAAACGAAAGAAGCCGTGGTGGGTTAGGCCAGTCCCCAAAGTTTGGCAATTCAACTCATAGCTTTCCCACTCACTGACCTTTAAAATGAAACGGGGGCGGCAGGAGTCCTGATCAGGCTCGCACACGATACCGGATGTCCCGCGTATGTAACATTGACACTTAGGATTGGGATCGTTGAGGCAGGCCCACAAACAAACGTCTTGAGACATGTTTTTTGTTGGGTGAATGTGCCGCGGAAAATAGTACATGAACCCAAGCCTTTTCCGAGATCTTCTGGAAAAAAAAGCATTGCAAATCTGTATTAAGCCTCTGAGATGTGGTTGAAGGTGCACGTTTGGATCTCGGTCTGACTGAAATTCTGCACGACACTGCGCTAGCCAGTTCTTGCTTGCAACATCTTGCAATTATGCAAACATGTGGTACCGCACAGCATGACTCGGGTGCCTCCTTGCACCTGCCGTATGGACCCCCTGGGCTTTAGTTTGCTCTGCCGAGACTCAATCGCTTCACTTCTGCATTCACGTTCACAGTGCCATCTTCCAGTCTGCAGCCAATCCTAGTGACCACGGGCCGTGGCCGGAGCTTGTTGGTGGTCCCTCCAAGAAATACCAACTGTTGAGGCCGACCAACGTTCAGGCCAGAAACGCACCATAACGCACCACTATCCGATGCTTTCAGCCACAAGTAGGCCCCGGTTCCTCAAATGAGGATCCATCCAGAACATCAGTTGAAGGGAGTCCATGCGAGTCAAATTCATGAAAAAGAGCCTAACTTAAAACCAACGCGGGAATTGGCACAAGGAACTCCAACTAGAATCCCTCAAAGGGCCGACACTCTCCCTCTCTCCACTGCCAAGGAACTCCATGCGCTGCTGATGAATATCGATAAAGCGCTGCACCCACACACCATTGACAGCCTGAACTTTCAGAGCCAACTCACCACTGACTGCATTTCAATGCAGAAGAATTGGCTATGGCCTGGCATCATTTTTGGACCGCACCATTCCTGGGTTATCTGATCGATCTAGATTAAACGTTCACTAGGACTTCGATCCACATATATATGGTCGTGGTGATCGGAGCATTGGTCCGGGTGGTCCCACTGATCGTTCGGGTTTCCCACCTCCGCTGTCCGCTATCCAGTGCCGAGCTGCGGTGGCTTCCAGATCCGACACCAAAGCGTCAAGTTGACCTTGCAGTTGCTGCGCCTGGCAGTTGCTTGCTCAGGACTGAGGCAAGCTCCGGTCGCCCAAAAAGAAGGTGCCTGACAAATCCTGACGACATGAGGATGGATTATCGAAAACGCTGTGAGAAAGGGCTGGGGGAACGTGTGTCTAAACTTGGAACATCCCCTCATCATCATTCATCGTCCCTCATCCATCCTGCTTTGACACTCGATAGGGCGTCTTCTCTGCATGTCGTTGGCAGTCCGAAGCGCGCGATCGCGCGCAGGGCGCTCGACCTGCCTCAAGGCGAAGATGCTCTTTGGAACGAGTGTCATTGGACGCTTGGGGCGCGGTTGTTGCCTGGCCAATGCCATTGGTCTACCAAGACATCGGTTCAGTGCTCCATTCCGTCAGGGAGATGTAAAGAGACTTGGCAACCTGAGGCGCTAGGCTGTAAAAGTAAGAAGGATATCAAGGCAGCAGCCTAGGACAAGTTTGGCCGTCTTCAAGCTGGCACTGGGCCGGAGCAATATATAATATATAATCATTGCTGTTCAGAAAGTTCAGATCATGTCTTCTTCGTTTCCCAGCCGTTTTGGAAAACCACTGAGTTCTCAAAGCCACAATGTACTCCATGGTCTTCATTCAGAATCTCAGAAGGTTCCCAACCGCGTTTGAAGGTCACCATGCCAACAAAATTTAATTGATTTGGCGCATTTCAATCCATGAGATTCTGGTGTGAACCTCCGCTGTCCTAGATCCATCCTCATCCAGCTGTCCATTCTTTCACCCCCAGGCATGATAAACAGTCGACCAAGTGGCTTGCTGCTCAGTCTCGCTGGGGCTCGGCCTCACTTGGGGCTGCTTGGAGATGTTGCTGCTATGCTGCCATATTCTTAAACCTATAGGAGGAACACGCCTTCTTGATCCTTCCTGTGGGGTTCCTCTCAAAGGTTCATTCTTTGATTTTGCCGTGTTTGCGAATCTTTCCTCTTGAGGAAATATTCACATCCCAACTTCATTGTGCTAGGAAGCTATAAAGAATACAAACAACTTCGCCGCAACACACCCCCATTCATGGATGGGTGAATGATGGAGTTCGCAAAAAACATATGTACCAGCATATCCAACATCTTCCCACCAGTTTGAAGTTGCAGCACAGCTCCAATCCCTGTTCAACATTGAGACTGTCCTTGCCTCTGAAACTTGCCGTGTTTCTCATTCAGCCCAGCCACTTTGGTTGGAAAAGCCGCTTGAACTGGTTGAACTGCTTTCCAGTCCACTGCATCTCTGGGGCAACAGCTACAGCTACAGGAGAATAGCTGCAATTTCACTGCTGGTGTCTGAGAGAGTTGGGTTTCAATCCACCAAACCAAGCACATAGGCATGCGGACTGCTGTTGAAACTGTCTGTCACATGAAGACACTATATCAATCTATATAATCTTGTTCTGGCAAAATCACTTCTTTGCTTCGGCGACTTGTGTTTGATGGTCACCTGACGACCTAATACGTCCCGTGTGCGTGTATTGCTGCTGGGCAACTTCGTTCTTTGCATCATTTGCATAGTGGACACATCAACTCAAACATAAAGCACCAAACACACCAACGAAGCAATCAAGCCTCACTCATTCCAACCAAAGACCTACAAACTGTCAGTCACTGGGCTCTCAACTCTCGTTGTGCCTCGCATGGCAAATCTCTCAGAAGATTGAGAGCGACCCAGGACCCACCATATCTTCAAGTTCATCACTCTAAACACTCCAAGGCAATGGCCAATGATGGTGGTTCCAACCTCAGAAATCAAACCCAAATGTGCCTGCATGAACGCAGTTGACCCGACGATGGCCAACCCCGGGAATTTTTTCTCAAGCAACTGACAACTGGCGCAAAAAATAGAAAAATGCTGAACCATCCACTTACAAACGATTACACTGGTACAAAGCCCCAAGCAGTGGGGTGTGAGTGGGATGGATGGATGTGAATAGTCTTTTCCTGGAAACACGGTCTTATCATGTCTTATCATATCTCATCTATGAATCGTGACCCGAGGTCTCGGCGCATCTGGCTGATCTGGCCAATGCACCTGCTGATCGACTGCGCCCGCTCACTTTAGAACGACATGGCCAAAGGTTGCTCAGTCAACTTGCGCACTTGGTACATGAGACTGAGTTATACAAACTCCGCAGCGCAGCACATGCGCACCTGCAGAAGTAGCGATGTACGCCTCAAGCAGCGCAAGCTTGGAGGTGAAAGCGTCGCGTTGTTTTCTAAAGAAGCCGGTGTTGCAAGCGCACTCCCCACGACATTGAGAAAGTAGAACGCATACTGAAACCAAGAGGCGACAAACACAATCAGCACCATGAATTCAATCAATTGTGTAAATGATCTACAAAAACAATTCAAACAATGCAAGAAATGCAATCCTAACCAGCATGCATCACCAACATCACTGCAAACCAATAGATCTGGATATTGCGTGTATCTTACTCCAACAAAGGCACAGCAAGCCGCCATCATTCTTCACAAGTCGCACTGCCTCAGTGTGACGGCTGCGCGATATTGTGCGAGTGGATAAGTATCCAAAACTGTGAAGTGACGGTGTCACTTGTTGTTGCGGAGCCAACCAGACTTTCAAAGTTCTGACCCGCATCTGAACCCAGCAAGGCCTGGCTGTGATGAAGATTGATCGTGCCTCCTTTGGGCACATCCTCCTCCAAAGGCCAGTGGTCTTGAGCAGGGACGCTTCTTTGAGACTGCGTGAATAAATGGAATTTGCCAAATACTTCAGCCTCATCCACACGGATGCCCACTCCACCTTCCAGGATTCAGACAGCGTCGTGGACTTTGCACATCTTGTTGGTTGAGTTGAATTGAGAACCTCCGTTTTCTACAAACACCACCAACACTACCACCAACAAGCATCAATAGTCAATCCGCACAATTTCAAAATGAACACTCCCCATTAGAAACAGTTAGACGCAGGCCTTCACAACCCAAGTTCGTGAGGCTCAACTGATCGGGGCAAGCATGCAGTTGCAAGCTCCGCCTCGGAATATCGTGTGCGCGTGAGGTGTTGGGACTCTTTGATTGCCAATTGATTGCCATGCAGTTCAATGCATCCAACTCGTTCATGACATCTTATGGCACCCCCAGAGCACGAGTCGCGTTGTTCCTTCTTCTGTCGGAGTCCCAAGGCCCTGTCAGTAGACTCAAGCGATCCAATGGATCTTTCAGCAGTTCCTGTGTCTGGCAGGCTTGGCCGCGCGGCAAGTATGAGATGCTCGAAGGGCCCAACAAAAACTTGCTGCACCTCTTGCTGCCAAGAGTGTCTCAGCGCCCAAGTTGCACCCTTCTCATCCCTTCTCACCCCCCTGGAGAGGACCTCGGGGTGGATGAAGTTTTGGCCAAGCAGCCTGGGTCTGGGTTGCACTTGCATTGACGAAAAGGTGCGGACACTCCGCAATAACTCCTACAATCCTACAACTGTGCAACCAATGGGCAATCAGGACAGAAAACAATGGAAGAAAAGAACTCCGATTTCCAGTTTCCCCGGGACAGGCGACCAACCAGTTCTCCTCTTCGACTGAAACTGCTGCACTTGGTTTCACGGATCGAACGGCCTTGCCATCTCGACTGCGGGCCACCGCACACGGGCATGTCTCGCACCTCTGGCGCCAGCGCCTGGCACGGATGAGGAATACAGAGGTGCTGGAGGCAGTGCAGGATTGCACTCTGAGCACCAACATGCTTTGCAGGAGTTCACCACCCTGTTTGGTATTCAGAAATAGGGTTTTCCACTTCCACGATGTTGAGGGAACGTATAGTCTACAAACAACGTCTTGCAATGCCGAACTGTTCAAACGTGGAAGGTCTTCACTTGTTGATGATGATCAAGATCGTCAAAGAAGACCAAAGTGAAAGCACTTGCAGCTGCAATTCCTTTTGCCTTTGCCGCCCACTTTGGAGTGAAGGCATCTGTAAAGATAGGCCACCCCGCGCCACGTTGTCGGCGCTGGGAAGGCCTATCTGTGTTGGCCAGGTCACCATTGGGGTCCAATGCGCACCTTTGCCACTGTCCGCTCACCTCACCGTTTTCGCGAATGGTCCTACAGTTCCTCGAACCTACAATTGAAGGGACACGGGTGTCATAACACATCCGCTCCCATGAGTTTATTCCGGTGTGTAACTTTATCAAGAACCTTTGCGCGGGACGCGTGCAAAATCTCTGTACATCAAGCAAGCGAGACCACACGCGTGAGCTCACGTAAAGCACAAATGTGACAATGTGAGCATAAGTATATACTGACTAAAGTGATTGTTAAATATTAGTTAGTATATATGCATATATAATATATAACATATATAATCATAATCTATATTATTCGACACTGCAATTAATATGGTATGTGACCAACCGCTGTAGACCTGGCACGGTTTTTGCACTTTGATGTCCACCAAATGCTTCAGTGGCAACTCAATCGCTGGACTCTGCCTGAATATCCCGCGAAGGGCTGTGCCTACCACGAAATCTGCAGTTCCAGGACGACCAGGTGGGGCAAGCTTGAAACTCAAACCTGAGAAGCTGCAAAACGAAAGCCAGCGCTTCCCTTTCTCGACAACTTCGCGTTAGGGGTTCAGATAGGTACCTTTCAGGTATCGAAGGCAGTCTTCCAGGCCAAGGGAGCTGCAAAAAGAAACCGGTGTTAAAATGGTTGTTCCGAGGCAATGCTTGAACCTTGGGATGAGCTAAAGAGAAAAAGAAATGCACCGGTGTCTTTGGCTCAAGTGTGGCCGGAGAGCAAGAGCCGATACAGGTGAGTGGGAGAGCCCACAACGAGCGAGTAGCGGCGGCGGTAATCCACCAAAGCAACAGGTCCAAGGGGGATCTGGGTATGAATCCGAGGTCGCAGTGATGCCAACGACCCCAATGTAGGCATATGTGGCATACATGGAGTGTTGAGGTATGGAGCCACATACCCACGGATCCATCCTCGTGTGCACTGGTTTCTTTACACAGAAGCAAGCCGCAAACAGCCCAGCTTTGAAAACAGAAAAGGTTATGGTCATGTTCCAGTGGCTGAAAATCCATAAGAAGCAACAAAAAGTTAGAATATAACGTCATGTAAATTATGATGGAACATCTGTTCTCTGCTGCAAGAGCGGCATTGCTTCTGGATGGTCGGGCAAGGCTCAATACTGCTTAGAAGTCCCTATGAGGGGTCACAGCGATCGGTCTGCTGCAAGTTGGTGGTCGGGCTGTTGCACGGAAAATGACATGATGGAACATGGCACAAGCACGACCACTGCAGAGTCCACGTGGCTGTCTGTTTCCGGGCTGTAAAAGGCTTCGAATCAATCAGAGAAGAGCCAGTTCTGCACGGCGTGAAAAAAATCATGCGCAGAGACGCGCGAAGGAAGCGACAAACGCGTGTGGAGAGCGATGTGAAGTAGGAGTGAACATGTGTCGTCCGTGAAGGGGGTTCGGAGGTTTAGTCTATAAACCCATTAGATAGTGTGGGCACCATTCGCGGAGGAGACCGGTCCAAAGTAGGTCAAAGGAACCTCAATGAACCCATTGCCAAGGGCGCCACGAAACTCACAACACCCACGGTGACACCCACCGGTACGGCGGCCAAGGGCATCCGGTCGACCGTCAGCATGGGTCGTGTCTGTATGTGTCTGTCACGGCGTCGCAAGGTGTCACTGCACCGCAACGGCGACGGCTGGAGTCAGCGTCGCCTGCGAGTAGGTGTCCGGAAGTGTGCTAAATAGACCAACACGGTGATCACAGGCTCACGGCGATGACTTAGTGATGACACAGCCCATGCGAAAGACATGCGCCGACGTCGCGACAGGGCCTGCCACGTTGGCTGTATCTTTGTGTTGTCAGATCATGTTTGCGCAGCCCCTCGAATCCACCCAAGCAGAACTCGGCCGCCTACGAAACAATATTCTGGAGGCCTCTCGTTTGTTCTGCAAGATCTCGTGTTGAAGACATGCAAACAGACGTGCAAACAATATGCAAGTTCGCGTAATCAAAACTTTGGCCTTTCAGGTTCACAATCGTATCGTTTAGGGAAGTAGAGGTCTCCTCAGTCCAAACCCTCCATCGTCCAAGGTAAGCGGTAAACCTCCTCACTCATTCAACCCCTGCACTCATCCTCGCCGTCGCTATCTTCGCTCATCGCCCCGAGAACAAACACACCAAGGCGCATGAGGCTGTTCCTCGGGAAGACCGTCATGGTCTTGTACTCGCCCTGATCGAAACCCCCCACTGACCATCCTTGACGGATTGGAAGCTGTCGTAAACAGTCCCACTCCCCTAGAGAAGCCAGTTGCTCCAACCGCCTGTTGCTGCGCAAGCGGCAGGAGGGACGCCGTGAGCCAAAACAACGCGGGGCGTCTGCACATAATGTTCGAATCTCGAAGCGCGCGGTCGGTATCCTTGTTTGAATCTGGTCTTCATTTTTTGAGGTGGCCAGAACAATGGTTTTAGGGCAGCAAAGCCCTGGCCCCAGGCCACCTTGAATTTGGCTGGACAAAAACATTCTGTTTAATGTCTTGTTCTGCTGACACATAGGTAACCATGCAAAAGCAAAAAATGCATTCTTGCATCACCACTAAAACATCACCTCCAAGAGTTTACGTATACCTTTCTCAGGCCACCCCCCCCAGACCCCCTACCTACTCACTTCGTTCGCCAAGCACAGCTCAGCATTGAGGTGGCCTGAACATAGTGTTTGAGGGCGGCAAACCCCAAGTCCCAGGCCACCTCGAAGTTTGCTCAAAGACCCCTCTACTGAAACGAATGCGCTTCCTCAGGTGATCGACCGACAAGCCTTGACGCCTCGTCAGATATACACCCAAGGATCCTCGCTTCACATTGAGGTGGCCTGAACAAAGCGTTTTAGGGCAGCAAACCCCTGGTCCCAGGCCACCTTGCATTTAGCTTCATGAACATTCACGCGCGCGGACCCAACAGCGACTTGCATTTAGCTTGATAAACATTCGCGCGCACCCCCCCCATCGACCTTGTTGTAGCGGGTCTTTTTAGGAGCGGCCTTATCCAGGTATCCTTGTTTGAATCTGTTCTTCATTTTTGAGGTGGCCTGAACAATGGTTTTAGGGCAGCAAACCCCTGGCCCCAGGCCACCTTGAATTTCGTTGAAAAAAACATTCTGTTTAATGTCTTTTTCTGGCCACACATAGATATTTCCCATCCACATTCAGATGATGCAAAAGCCAAAAATGCATTCTTGCGTCACCACCCGCTCCAAAAGCATCAAAGCATCACCTCCCAGAGTTTACGTATATCTTTCTCGGGCCACCCCCCTCGGATGCCCAACCTACTCACTTCGTTCGCCAAGCGCAACTCAGCTTTGAGGTGGCCTGAACATAGTATTTGAGGGCAGCAAACCCCTGGTCCCAGGCCACCTCGAAGTTTGCACGAAAACCCGTCTACTTAAACGAATGCACTTCCTCAGCTGATCGAATCTGGAAGCCTTGAAGCCTTGTCAGACATACACCCAAGGACCCTCGCTTCACATATCTTCATTTTTGAGGTGGCCTGTTTAGGGCAGCAAACCCCTGGCCCCAGGCCACCTTGCATTTAGCTTGGTAAACATTCGCGCGCGCGGACCCAACATCGACCTTGTTGTAGCGACAAGATCTTTTTAGGCGCGGCCTCTTGGCCATGTACAGGCATCACCCGAGGCCTCCAACCATATCCTCTAAACTGTAGCTACCCAGGGTCCGTCTAAATGCTATTGCGCTATACCTCTGCGTGCTATACCTCTATTCTCCGCGCCCTGGGGAGCTACCGCTGCACAATCTCTGTGTCTCTTTACACAAAATGCCAGGTTACACAGAAAGACGGGCTTGCGATCAAACATCCTATGATCCAGTGCTCCAATGATGTTGCACTTTTTCCTCTCCAGTCTCATTGGTGCTCTAAACTTGGGTATGTCGGACGCATAACACATACGGACCCCATGTAACTACAGTTCAGTTGCATGGTATAACACTTCCATGGTATAAATGCATATAGCGTTCATAATTGCTCTCCTTCTGAAAGATGTTATTCACTCACAGCTGCACGAAGCTATAACACATCGGCCTCTGTACAACGACACCGTACCATTCAGATGATGCAAATGATGCAAATTGCATTTCTTGCATCACCACCCGCTCAAAAATCACAAAGAATCACCTCCAAACCAACCTCAAAAACCTTCCGTCGCTGCACCCTCCTCCCCCAGCATGTGCCGAGTTCACGTGTACCTTTTGCGGGCCACCCCCCCAGACCCCCTTACCTACTCACTTCGTTCGCCAAGCACAACTCAGCTGGCGCCTTCTACGAAGGCTGGCTTTCGTAAAATTCCAAAATCTGTGAGACGCACTTCACAGTGCTTGGCACGGCATCGGTGACCTTGGCACATCACCACCGTATCCAAAGAGCACTCCTGCATGACCGTCGATACACGTAGAACTAAACCTACAGCACCCGCCATGAAAAGTGAGCTGGTGCAGTGAGAGTCCTTGCGACACGCCAGCTCGGCGACCCTTCGCAAGGATTTCGTACGTCGAGACCCACGAGGGACAGAGTTCTGGAGGAAGACTTGCGCAAACCTTCGATCTAGAACCTGTCCGTGACGTGTGTAAGACTTTAAGAACCCCCAGTGTTGGTGCGCTGAAAATTGCTAAAACAGTAAAAAAATACTTAAAGTAATACTTAAACGAAACACTTCAAACCCGTTGTCCTCAAGAGTGATTTGCCACTGTGCACAACTCAGCAAATCACAACGCATGCGCCTGGGCCCTCACTTGGGGTCTTTGCACATGGAGGTCCCAAAGAGGCTTTTGGAGCAGCCGGTGGTGCAACAAAGGGCAGTGCTCGAATCCTTTCCGCAGCAGAAGGTGTCTGGTGTGCACATCCTGAGCAGCGTTTGCAGCGCATAAGCAAAGTATTTGGTGTTTGCATGAAGAAATGTCAAGAACTTTGGGATGGCAAATCCATATATACTACATTAATCTTGTCCTGAGAACCACTCTAAGTTCCACATCGGAATGAGGGCACATGTGTGTGTGCGCAGGCAACACAACAAATATAAACATATGCACATTGTATATTACATTGCAGTATGTTGCATGGAGGTGTCATCTAATCGTCGATAGGCTCAAGAAAAGATTGGTACGAGTTCCGTCCAGGATCAAGGGTGCATGCTCATTGTCTCGGCAGCAGGTGGAGCCAGCAGACAAGCACACACCGCCGCAGCACTTTGAATCAGCTGTGCAGCATACCTTATTCCAACACCCACCCAACGCTAACCCCATTCGCAACAACACCGTCAAAAACATCAAGAGGTACCATCCCACCATCTCCCTCCCCCTCCACCTCTCTCATCCTCTCTGTCTTTATCCTTGATCAGTTGATGGGGAAAATCACTAGTGGATGTCGTTTCAGCCCAGCTTGACTCACAGCTTTCGCCTTGTGCCCGCAGCAAAGGTCGTCCGCCATGCAGGTCATCGTGCCGCACACGTTGTCCTTCGTCGTGCTCAATCCTGTGAGCTCCAACGAGCCCCAGGAGACAGGCCGCGGCAGGGGAAGGACAAGAGCCAGCGCTGCCACCTGTGACTGTAGATTCGGGATGATTCGGAACATGGAAGACTTGACATTGTGGATGACAGTGCTTCGGATGCTTCGAAGAGAGTAAATGGATGACCTCTTGAACCTTTCCACCGCTCAGAACTCTTCTGCTTGCCAAACCCCGACTAACCCCCCCAAAAATTGGGATGTGGCCCAACAACAGAAGCTTTGAGGGTGCATCCAAGGGGCATCTCCTTGCAACACAATAATGTCTTGTCACCATGTTGACAAGGGGCTCCAAGGAAAGCAGCAATCGAGACAGTGTGCTTCGAAGGCATCCAACAAGCTACAGGAGGCAAACAAATGTTATGTCAATCATCTCCCAGATCCCGTATGCTTGTTGTTGTTGGATGTTCTGGCAACATCTTGCTGCCAGGTGGCAACCAACAAAGCAAAGAGTGGCCAAATGTATTTGCCGCGTGCTCGTGGGGCAACAACCTCCTTTCGAAGGCAAACCACGTTACTCATGCATGTCCCTCATGTGTTCATGTTCTCGCCCATGTTACCGTTTATGTGTATCAGGTGCTTCTTTACGTATACGGATACGGCATTTTCTTGCCCTGTCATTGGCAAGTCTGTCACCGACTCGCTCCTGAGGGCTCTCGGACAGCAATTCAGAGTCCTCGAGAGGGGCATCCATTTGACCAACTGCTTCCTATACACCTCCCTGCAGAATTCAGCTGAGGCCAAACTGCTGCGGGAGCCTCTGATGGGATCAAAGGAATTTCCAATAAAGAGGTTTTGATGGAAGCATGTGCACTTCATTAGCCCTGCATGCGTGAGTTGGAACCGTTCCCAACAAGTGAGATCAAAGTTGAATAGTTCAACACCACCATGGCTGTGCCAAGGAGGCGGCGGGCTGCGGCAAAACGACGACAGCACCTTCTCGATGCGCCGTCAAAAGCCCCCCCCGGTCCTCCCAGCCTGAAGCTCCTCGGTGGTCATCCCCTGATCCGAGCCATTCGACATAAACGATTGAAATGCAAACTGCATCCCCTGGTCATCTGCTGGTAATTGCAAACTGCATCTTAGAGAATGCGTCCACCCTGACACAAGAATGGTCAGGTCGGAAGAAATAGTCAGTCTTCATGGACCGCCATGTTCCATGTCTGTCAACTACACTCAAGATCATGCAGTCGTGCCACAGTTTGTTAATGTCTCACACACAAATAGATATTCTAAATACAGTCGCAGGCAAGAACGAATGAAGAATACTGACGCTGCTAAGACTTCTTGATGAAAGGTCATGAAAGAACGACTGCAAAAAAACATCGCACAACTAGACTTAGATCTATACGTAGGATTCGATCTAAACACAAAGAACAATCTCACATCCCACTTCAGCATATCACCATCGCCTAATGTGCGCTACACTCAGTCCGATCCGTCCACTGTGCCTCCACCTGGGCACATCGGAGTTCACACAGGACCTGACCGAGCACCAGCCCGAGAGCAGCGGGCGAAGCCAAGGAGTAGCGTTTGGAGTTGATAGTTGCATGATGTTGCATGTTCGAGTCGATCTCAGCCCATTGGAAGTTCAGACTTTCGATTGAGGAGAATTGAAGAGCACTCAGGGCTCAAAGAGATGGCCGAAGCCCACATCCCTATGTGTTAAATGGATTTACATGGATCTTGAGGATCCCAACATGTCCAATGATTGGTCGAATGGCAAAACCTGTTGAAGCCACCTATGAGCCCGGTCTCGTTGTGCCGATGTTCGCGACGTTTTGAGCTCCTGCCCAGTGTCAGGCATCGAAAAGCCTGCTGACAATGCTTCTTTGAAGAGCCTGGCTCCAACCTCCTGGTCATTGACAGCATCAAGCACAGCGTTGTAGCTAACAACATTGGGAAGCAGCTGCGAATCTGAGATCTGAGTAAAAGCAATAAGAGCAAACTCCCAGCGGAGGTTGCAAGCGCTGATGGTGGCATTGTAAGACACCAGGTCTGGAGTGATCTTGCCGCTGGACATGTCTTCGAGCAAGTGCACAGCAAGAGCCCACTGGCTTCCACCCCCAACGGCACTGATGGTCGAATTGTAGCTTACCAAATCCGGCAACAACTTGGTGGAAGCAATGTCTGCAAACAGCTGCAAAGCTACTGCCCACTGCTGCTGTTTGGCACAGGTGTTGATCATTGCATTGAAGCTGATGACATCAGGTACAATCTGTGATCGTGGCATCATCTCCAACAACATTAAGGCAGTTGACCAGCTGCCGCTGCCCTCACATGCTCGGATGGCAGCGTTGCAGGCCACCACATCTGGAGCCACTTTCGCCACCGGCATCTGCTCAAAAAGTCTCAAAGCCACGGAGGGGACAGCTTCACAGGCCTTCAAGGCAGCACTGTAGCTGCGAACGTTGGGAACCAGCTGGTGTTGCCTCATTGAGGAAAGAATCTCCAAGGCACGCGGCCAATGTTCTACTGAGCTGATGAGGGTGTTGTAGCTGATGACATCAGGGGATAGCTTGGCATCAGCCATGCTGTCTACCAACCACAAGGCCTGTTGCCATTGCTTCGCCTTTGCGCAAGCACTGATGGTCGCGTTGGTGCTGATGGTATCCTGAAGAGTCGCAGCTCTCATCTGGCTGAACAGCTTGATAGCCAGCTGCCATTGTCCGTCCTTCTCACACGCCGTGATTGCTGAAGTGTAGCTGATCGCATCTGGAGCCACCTGCGCAGTCACCATAGCGTCAACAAGCTTCAGCGCCACATGCGACACAGCTTCCTTTCCGAAGCAACCAATCATAGCATTGTAGCTTCTGACATTTCTGCCAGCCTTGGATCCCAGCCAAGCTTCACACAGTGTCAAGGCGCTTTGCCACTGCAAGGCCTTGACACTTGCTTCTGTCAGGGCCGTGTAGGTCGCGAGGCCTGGCGAAAGCTTTGACAGGTGCATCTGTCTGAGGAGTTCCAGCCCCAGTTGCCACCGGCCTTTGCAAGCGCTAATGGACGCAGTGTAGCTGAGGGCATTGGGCACCAGCTGGCAACCCGCCATCGTCTCCAGGAAGTGGATGGCCAGCCACCAAAGGCCACCCTTCTCACAAAAGCCGATAGCCGAGTTGAATGTGAAAATGTCCTGACCCAGTTGGCCGTGAAGCCGATGGCTGGGCCAACTGGGGAAGATTGAAGCACAGCTACTCAGCGACCGCTACCCTTACCTTGTCTACGGTGTCCAGTAGGAGAAATGAACAGGTCAATCAAACCAGTGGAACAAATTCACCGTGTCACTGCATCACTATTCAGGTCTTGCCATGCCTTGCCACATGTATGTTCTGCTCGTGAGTTGGACAGGCAAAAGTGTTTGATCATGAGTTTGGACAATACTCTGGCAGTAAGCCCAGAAATAGAAAAGTGACCCCCCCGCAATATACATTGGAACTTGTTCTACTCGAGTACCACCATGTACTCCAACAAAGCTGATCACCAGCCCAAGGGGCTGGCTCAATCTGCTTCATGCGCATGGTCTCTAGAAGGTCTAAACCAATCTGCCAACGACCCTCCATGCGACAACAGCTGAGAGCCGCGTTGTAGCTGACCAGGTTTGGCGTCGCTCCAGGCATGGAATTTAAAAGGTGCAGTGCCATCTGCCAGTGTTCCCGGCACGCGCTCATGGCAGCGTTGTAGGAGATCACCGTTGGGCAAAGCTTGTCTTCTTTCATGACCTCCATCCGTGTTCGTGCATGAGCGTCCCCTCCAAAAAACGCCTTGACTCCAATCATCACCAGTGATGGGTCACTTAAAACATATCTTCTAAAGATCCTAAGATCCCTCCGACAGCCCCAGGTTTGATCTCCTTGCGTGTCTTCTTCTGCCGCTCACCTAAAACCGACTCAACTGCAACACCCGACCTGCAGCATCTTTAAGGCCTGCTGCCACTGCCGGCCCTTCTCACAAGCAGTGATCGTGGAGTTGTAGCTGATGACGTTGGGCAATAGAACGGTGGCCTCTACGCAACTACCCGGCTTAGGTTTAAGCTAGTAGCTAGTGGACACCAGCTATGTCCTGACGATATCTAGGTCTGGGGAGTCGCTCCATCATGTTTGACCGCTCTGGAAGACATGTGGCGTGCAGGTGTGTTGGCGCGCCTCCATCCGCCTCAAAAGGCTCATGGCCATTTGCCACTGGGCGCTCTTGGCACAAGAACTTATGGCTGAACCTCGGTTTGATGAGAAGATCTGGTGCCCAAAATTACCAAAATAGTTGATCACCAAAGCAAACATAGCCAAAGAATTCACCACTGTTGAGGGAAGCAATCCTGCTGGCAGCTAGCACATGGAACCACCAAGAAACCATCTTAATCCCAGGTCACCAATAGATTCAACCCAAAAATAGAAAGGCACAATACGTATTCCCAAATTTTGAGTAGCTGTAACTGACCACGTTTGCCATGACCTTCCTTTTGCGCATGGTCTCCAAGATCTCCAAAGCCTTGGAGGTCGATCCAAGAGCCTTGATGGTGGCGTTGTAGCTGATGACATCCGCTGGCACGCTCGCCCGGTCCATAGCATCCAACAAGTAGAGCGATTGAGGCCATTGAGTTTGTCGTCCAGCAGCACTGATGGCAATGGTAAAGTGACCACATTCTAAACCGGAGAACTTCTCTGAGATAAATTTGTCCAGGGCTTTCACCGCCAGTTCGCACTTCTTCCCTGCTAGCTCTTTGAGGATGTGAGCGATTTGTGGAGCATCTTTAGCAGCACCCCGTCTCTTCATAGCTCAAAGCGACCCACCATCTCTTCGTCGGGCCGAGGATCTATTAAGCATTCCCAGCTTGAGCGGAACATATTGGACATGCATGGGCATGCAATCCATATTGGCCTCACGCTCACCTCATTCTTATGCCGGTCTGCCTGGAGACGCACTAAAGTCAAGGCAGTAATACAGCCTGGAATCTGAGAGTTGATCCAGGTTTGTTTGCACATCGGTTCAGGGTTTGCCTGCTTTTGTTGATTCTTACATGTCAAAGGCGCTTCCTCGCTGATGACACGACGGATGATGCGAGGAGTCTTTCCCAAGCTGTTGGGATGCAATTGCTTGCACAGTGGCACAGTAAATAGATGGCATGGACATGCATGGACTGTCAGACCCCTGGGTCAAGAAAATAGCAAATGGATCTTGCCTGGTGTCTCACTACTAAGTAACCAACGAAAATCACAATCCCGGACAATCCCCTTGTCGTTTGCTTGAGCCCTGTCCAGGTTGGTTTGTGTTGGTTTGGAGTTTAGACAAGCCCTAAGCCCAACCACAAAAAACAAACAGTGGCTGCCAATCGGCATCTTCCTCTCAAACGTTCGTCATGAGGCCGGATCAAACTTGGAGTCAACTTATTAGATTCATGTAATCTGGAGGCTGTCCCTGACCTTGCTTGAGGGATGCTGGACACTTCTTCTCACTAAGACTATTGTCCCACCTCATCAGGTGGTGTCCAGCTGAGACCGGGCTTGACCTTGGATAGGGTGGGACACGGGCATGGTTGACACGAGTGTTGCTCGAGTAGACTGGGTGGGATTCGGGCGGTGCAACAGCAGCGGGAATTCTGACAACCACATCAAATCGTCATTGGTTCCATTGGCTGCAGCACTCATCATTATCATGCATCCATACGCAGCCTATACATGCCTGGCACCAAATCCTACATGTGGTTGGTCCTTGAGCCCTCAGGCCTTTCATTCACTTGACAAACATCCAATCACCGGAGCCTTGGGTTGGTTTAAGTGCTCAGTGCTGAGGCTCCTTCTGCCAGGCTTGGTGGCACCGGCGCCTAGGGATGCCAACGGAACCAGCACGCCAGAAGTTGAGACCCCCAAGGGCATGTAAAAGACCGTGCAGTCCAAAGTCCAAAACAAATACACCTTGCCGCCTTACAAGGTCAAGGGCACCACCCAGGAATCAGGTCAACACACAAAGACGATGCAATGTGAGCTGCTCAGATCCTGTCTGGAAACCACTGTGTAAAGCGAAGTGGGATACCCCTCGCGCGGAGGCGCAAGTGTGGTAGAAAACTGCTCTCGATGTATTGTATGCTGGCCCTGCCCTGGCCAAACCTGGAAAAAGTGGTCTCCCCTTGCCGTGTTTGCCTGGCAGTCCTTGCGAAACAGCAGGAAGTAGCTGCAGTCCGCAGGAGAGAAGACCTGAAGGACCCGCAAATCATGCTCCGGTCAGCAAATGGGGTGGAAGACCAAGCATTTTGTAATCAGGGTTTGTTTGAAGAGAGCATTTATATATATATATTAAATATATAATATATTATATGTTTTAGGTCCGCTATCTGCCCTGTTTTCAGGGATTAGTGCCGACTGGAAACCACCTCGTAGTGATTGAGCCATAGCTCGTTCGTTAGGGCACGGGTGTTGGTCTTGGATTTGGCCCATCGTAAAGCAACACGTGGTAAAACATTCAAACAGGTTACAGTAATGAAGCCCAATGAAGGCCCCTTAAGGCTCCTAATGTCGGCGTTTCTGAGGGTGACGGCCAAGCAAACGCCGCCAGAGCATTTCGAGGAGCCCTCATTGAGCCTGGCTGTCAGTGCTGTTGTCAAGCTGTTTGGACCCTCTTGGTTTCCCACGGCGGATGGGGTCCAATCTATCCATTTGGTGTTGGGAACTGGCTTCCAAAGCATCAAACAAATTCAATGGCATTCTAATTCCAGCAGTTCAAGTGTGTTTTAAGTTTTACCACTGTGAGGCTTATTCACGCATATGTCTGCGTTGGTTTCTGAGTCCAAATCCACTTCATGAACCGTGTCAGCCATGGTCTTTGCGCCATGCACACCTAAACGTGTAGTATCGTGTATGTTGTTTGTTTTGTTTTTTCCATCCCTGCTACCCCAGGGGGTGGGGGGGTCGGACCCCCAACAGAAAATGGATTATCCATTTTTGACACTGATGATGCATTAGCAACGGTCTAGATCCAGTGATATTCAGTGTCGTCCATAGCACCAGCCTGCACTTACCCAACCTGTTTTGCACTTTCTGCATCATATTTTGCATCGTTTGGGTTGTGTTTTTGATCTTTTGGCGTTATCTTTTTGGTCTCTTTTGGGCTGCGTCCTGTTTCTGGTCGAGAACAAGAAAAGATAAGAAAAGCATTGGATAGGGATCCAGGTATCTGGTATTTCGAAGTGCAAAACAAGCGAGCGTTGGGCTGTATATCTTGTTACATCGAGCGTTAAATCAAAGAAACAGACCTTGATTTACATTGCGTGGACGCGTTGCCTAATACACTGCATGGACGCGTTGCTTACGCCCGCGGGGCGTAAGCGATGCGGACCCTCAGGGAGCTCCGAGCAGTGGGACCGCGGTGCCGTCCAAAAGGTCGCGTTGCTTACGCCCGCGGGGCGTAAGCGATGCTCCTTGTTTTTTTTGGATTTTTGGCTACATTCAAAGCAAGACCATCATATTCAATCATGCCAGCATGGTCAAGTGAATTCAGGTGGTTCACACGATCTTGGCACTTTTCTTTTCTTTCCCTGTGTCTTAATCTACTGCCCAAGCGGAAAGCCATCAAAAGTCTTGAATCTGGTGGGCACCCTGGCATCTCCATGCTCAGACTTGTATTCAGTGAGCTTGCTGAAGCCTCTTTCCCATTCAACCGCGTCGCTTGTCAAAATTTCTCGGGGCCACGCGGAGATAAAACTGGAAACATGTTGGCTGTGTAAATGGAATGGAATTCCTAAAGGTACCCCCCCCTCGATCCTCCATTTTCGAGGAGGGGGGATTTTTTTCCTGCTAAATGTTTGAAGTGTTCCAAGATGCTACTCTTGTGCAAGTGCTTCCAATAGCCCCAGGAGGTTCCGGGTTGCCACCTGTATGTGGCAAACGTGGTGTAGCAGATTGGTCGGCCGGAACCTCCAAGTTTGGCCTTTAAATCCAATTCGATCAAGTTAGCCCCAACCAAATTCTTGTGGATAGTGAAGCTGAAGGATTGCCCATTCTATATGCATTGGAACCCTTGAAGCTTGCAACCCCATCGCCAAAGCATCGCTGAACTAAGCTCAGTCGACCTCTCCACAGCTTCAGAAACTGAAGCAATTCCTGCAGTCTGAAAAGGTGGATTCACGAGGCAACCACGAGGCAATGGCTCGATGACAACCACGAACAAGCAAAGGGTCTAGGGAAAGGGCAATGGGGAACTTGGATATTTTGAGGTATCCCTGAATGGGAGGTGGCTGGTGTAGTCTCGTCGAAGGTGTCGAACGCAAAACAACAAAACAACAAACCAGTGATACAGAATCATGATCTTTCCCTTCCAAATTATGTTCTTGGATTATCTTATCTTGGATTATCTTCCTTGATCGTGGAAATAAAGTCTCTACAGCTCTGTAACATGTTGGATAGCAGGAAAGCATGCCGGGACGAACCAAAGTCTAACAACAAAGCCGCTTATGGCCTCGCCTGGGTACTATTGATACAAACATTCGTGGGCAGTATGGTACCAGGGGGCACTGTGTTCCGCTGCATGCTAACAAACTACACTGCACCCTGCTGCAGTCAGTGACCAAAGTGCAACGTTCCCGCCCAACAAAATGCCGAATGCCGAGTCCCTGGAGCAGAACAAAATATGTTTCATCTGCATTGCATGCCAGGTCGCCTACTTGCACAATTGCAAGCAGGCAAACACAGCTGGCGAACATCAGCGTTGCACACGGTTTGGTCAGCTTCGCAAGGATTCGACGCATACCCGACTCAAACCAGCAGCCGCGTACGAAAACATCGGCAGCGTGGAGGGGCCCTCGCTGGCTCAGATTGAATGCAAAGATTGAAACTGAAGCAATTGCTTTCCTTCTCGTTTCCTATGCTGTCTTTTGTTGGCTCCCTCTCCCTCTCTTTTTTTTTCTCTCTCTCTCTCTCTCTCTGATTCGCACTTCTCTCCAAACATGGCTGTCTTGTGTAAACTTTGCTTGTGGGGGGTCCACAAAGGTGACCCCATCAAGAAGAGAACATGCCTTGCTTTCCTATCAAATCACTTGTCCAAAAGGAAATGCTGCTTCCAAACAGCCTTGTGGATGGTTCTTACCTTTTGCCTGTGCCCATCCTATGGGCCATAGCCTCCCTGCTTGGCTGCTGAATCCATGTCCCCTGTCTCCTCGCCCAAGCATTTGGCCGCTGTTGTGTGCATGGCCAGGTCTGCTTCCAACGCCCGATCCTTACCGTCAATGACTCCGCTCCGAGGTCCCCGTTTAGAGGATGTCCAAATTGGCTGATGGGGATAACTCTGGGATATTCGGATAAGGACATGCTCCTACGTCCCAACAGATGGCTGGGTGGTCTCTGTATATCATATGCATCGAAGGGGCGCCCCAAATTGGAATGGCAAAGCCGCCCTTCAAAATGCCTAATCTTCAATTTGATTGCACGCTGTTGTATATATGGATCTTCCACTATGAGGCCATAGCCAAGACACCCCCAGATCCACAAAGAGGCCCTGCACCAGTTTCCAGCGCTGTGGGCATTCATAGATCTCGTCCAAGGCACGTGCAGCCACACGGTGACACATGACGTCGAGCTTGGTCCTGTCCAATGATTCCAGTGATCGTCTGTGGGCTAACATGGAAGCGGATGGCGTGGCCACTGGGAAAACAATATTTCTCTATCAACACGGGTTTGCCCACTTCCATGTTTGTTGCAGGGAGGGTATTCTCTTCTTCTTGCCTGCAATCTCCGTAGTGCTTTTTTCTAGAGCTAGGACTTCTACAACGAGTTTGACATCTTTCCGGTGAGCAGGACGGTCACTATGTTCTTCCACTGCGGGACCAAGGTACTGGGCTCGTGCTTCCCAAAAGATCTGAAAGGCACGCTGCCACTGGCCCCCACTGTCGCAAGCAGTTATAGCAGAGCTGAAGCACAGCAAATCATAGAGCCTATCAGGGAGGCTCTCACAGAGTTCACCTCAATCTCACCAGGTGTTCAGATGTTAACTGTACACTGCACATCCTCCGCCACAAGGGCACTATTCAAGCTTGGGCACTCACTTACTTGCATATTGATGTCAATGTGGTAGAAAAACATCCGTCTGCGCAGAATGAACCCCAGCCTCTGATGTTCAAGCGACCTTAACAAGGACAATGCGGTCTGCCATGCACTTCCGAGACCACAGGCGCAAATGGTGGTGCTGTACGAGACAGCATCTGGGAGTACTCGCAGCTCCTTCAAATTCAGCAGCAACATCAGCCCTGCCTGCCATTCCCGAGCATTACCTTGGAGCTTTTGGGCACGAGCATGACATAGACATAGACTCAAAGCCACAGCATGTCGAGCATGGAATTTAAGATAACAAATTGTGGATATGCAATATAATGTCCATATCGACCAATACACGTAAAAAATACCCCACAGGGAGGACTTACGCAGCTGTTGCATTCCAGTTACTGCATGCAAGCATTATGGAGTTGAATGTCACTGCACTTGCTGGCACTGACTGGTCGTCCATTTGGTGATAAATGTCCAGTGCTGCCTGCCATTGGGCCACAGCACAACAAGCAACAATGGAGGCATTGAAGGAGATGGAGTTTCCTTGAAGCAATCGTTCATCAAGTGCTTCAAGAAATCCCAAGGCCATTAACCAACATGCTGCTTCCCCACAAGCACTGATAGCTGAATTCAGTGATATGATGCCAACCTGACTCCGAAACTCCACGCCTCAAGAATTCAAAGGATTTTCTAGGCTGAGGACTTATTTCTGGGGAGGTTGTTGGGCATCCAAAACAAGCTGAAAGGACTACTACTTACTACTGGCCTCGAACATCTTCAGCTCCATGTCTTCTAGAAGGGCCATTGCAGCTTGCCAATACTTGGCTTTCCCACAGCCACTCATGGCGGCAGTATAGGGGACAATATTTGATGCCAAGGAGGTGCGATTCATGATCTCAAGCACTGCCAGAGCTTGTCGCCACTCACTTCCGTTGCTGCATGCTGTGATGACGCCGCTGTAGCAAATCACATCTAATTCCAACCCCGTGGCCTCCAAGTGCTGCAACAAAGATAAAGCTTGTCGCCACTGGCTACAGCTAGCACAAGCTTGCAAAGCAGCACCCAGGTCAATCTGGCTACGCCGCACCCGCCGCCAATGCATGTCCTGCAACAAAACCAAGGCGGCCTCCCAGCGCACGCCACACGCCAGCATGGCCGAGCTAAAGGATATGCCATCCAGTCGAATCTTCTTCTGATCCATCCTTGGGCAAGCAAGAAGCAAACAAGCAGCTTGCCAAAGAACTCACAGTAGCACTCAGCAAACATTTTGAGAGTTGGAAATGTTCTTTCCTCTTTGCTGAGGACCATATTAGCTTTCTTCGCAAAGTACAGCTGCATAGCTCTGCCACTTCCGTTCAAACCATATTGCTCTCCAACCAGCCGAATTGCCCGAAAGGGGCAAACATTGCGTCCTATCAATCTTTTTGGAGTGTGGTGAGTGTGGTGTGCTTGCTGTGCAGCGCCAACGCTTCAGGGGGTGGCGAAGTGCTTCTACGCTTCTAGACTCCAAATGTTTGAACTATTGGGTTGATTGATCACAGGCACTTTAGCCCACTGCCGTATACCTGTAGTAAGTTTACAGAGCGGAACCGTATTGGTACAGTAGAATTGCTCGACATAAAGAAACTAAGGACATGATCGTCTCGGCCAGGGCGGGTGACGCATCGGCAAGGCTGAACATTGATGCTCTGGTCCTGCGGGTGTTGTTCTACATCCCGGTCCTGCGGGTGAGTATTGGACCGTATTTTGAGTTCATGACCTACACATACAAAGAGAGTTTATTTTTGAGTCCGATCTTGGGTTGTGGCAAGCTATATAGCATCACAATTAGGGGTGTGAGACTCTTGGAACCTCATTGCTTCCCAGGTTCTCTTGCAAATGGCCTAGGACCACGCACCATAGGTTTGTACCTGTGAGCGCATCAATGGACGTGTTGTAGCTGAAATCATCTGCTTTCAAGCTTCTGTGCCTCAAGAGCTCTAAGAAGAACAATGCAGTGGTCCATTGTGTCTGTGCGGCGCAGGCTTTGCTCACAGAGTTAAAGGAAATGCTATTCCCCTGCTGCCGTTTGTTTTGCAGTGTTCGAATCAAAGACATGGCTAGAAGCCAAACACCAATGGAGCCATCGCTTCTGCTTATGGCTGCTGTGTAACAAACCACGTTGGTCTCAACATGTTCCTCTTCAGCCTCCCTCAACATCATGCTGGCGACCCAAGGGTTGCAACTTCGCAAAGCTGAGCTGCAAGAGATTGAATTCCTTCTCAACTGGTGGAGGTTGAATTCTTGAAGCTGACTGCATGCATGAAGCCACTGCCCTGCTTCACTACAGGAGATGACGTTGGAACTGTAGGAGATCAGATCTGCTTGGTGGCCTTGATGCCAGATCTCATCCAAAAGAACGCTAGCACGCAGCCAGGTGCTCTTACATGCGGAGATCGCGGCATTGCAAACAATCAAGTTGCCTGAGATCGCGGATTTCTCCCTTCGAATCAGCGATTTTGATGATCCAAAGCCCCCATGTCTCCACCGGATGTTTTTGCAAGCGCCCTATGTTTGTGCTCCCTCTCTTCCCTTCACCCCTTGCTGTTCTCTTCTTCCCCAGCCCCATCCTTGTGCACTGGATTCCCCAAGCATTGCCATCGCCAGTGGCCAGTGAGCCCGAGCAGCCACCATCAGAGCACCTGATCTCCAAGAAAGGGCATCTGACCCACTGCAGCTCCTACCCACTTAGATGCCGTGCAAGTGCAAAGAATCCAGTTATTTGTCAGGGAACGGTACAGATGTGCAAACACATATTCTTGTACCGAACCGTACAGGTAACCGAAATGATGTAGCAAAAGACCACATCGGAATTACAGTGACCGACCGAGTTCTCTGCGTAGTCGTTCGTGCAGTTTTGCCTGAGCTCGCAAGGCCCACGCGTTCTTCTCCCTTCCTCCGACTCACTGACCCTGAACGGCCCAATTCGGCGGTTTGGGTTGGTGGCTTGGTACTTTACCAAAGCTGTCATGGGGAAGAAACAACGAGCACTGAACAGCTGTTGGGAAGGATAAAGCCGAAGCACCCTACAAAAAATCTAGAGGTTGTCCCATTCCATGCCGGTAAGTCAAAAATGTGAAGCTCTCCCATGCAATCTAAGTTGTTTGAATCAGAAGGTTACCTTGTTCTTTTTCGCTGCGAAAAAAGGCCCAAGGCACTGTAGACCGCAGCGTCTGCCGACAAGCGCTTTTGCTTGAGCTCCTCAAGTAGAGCTACCGAATCCTTCCAAGCTCCATGCTCACCCGCCACACGGATGGCCTTGGTGTATGCCTTTCTCTGGCCGCTGGATCCCAACATGGCCGTTGTATGGCGCCGTGTGTCACTCGACTGGACGAAGCTAACGGAAGAAACGGCATATTGCAAGTCTTGGAGACATCCAACCATCCAACGGTACAGCCGTGAGGTCTGGAGTTTTATCTTCTAGATTACGCGTATTATATATTAATATATATATATACACAAACACATAGGATGATAATACTATAGATTTGTTACTAAGATTTGTTTTACAGCTTTGAGTTTGTGAAGGTGCAAGGTCTTCTCTCTGTCCTGGCAACATTGGAAGCCGCCAACGCTCCTGGTGTCAGTGCGAAAGATATGAACGATCGAGAACGTACAGACTCACAAACGTTCAAGGATCCTCCCTGACAATGCTCATGCTCCATCTGCCCAGCACGATAAACACCGGATTGGGATGGATTGGGACGATTCATAGATAACGATAGATAACGGATGATAGAGGTACTGGTTCACGATCACATCGACGATTCAACGCCACACCGACATCGGCGCCCCCGGCCAAGTCATCGGCATCAAGTCGGCGAGAGCGCTCGACACACCTGGGTGTGGCTGTGACGTGCACTGCGTGCTTCGGTGCGACGCGTCGCACCGGGTGTCCAGCCACAACGGGGTGAAGGACGAATCTTCATAGGCCTCATGTGGGGCTCGAACCAAAGATGAAGAACTTGAGCAAGGTAGAGGCATGCCAAGAATTGCCAAGACATCAGGTGTAGCAACAAACACCACATGAATCGCAGGCGCCCGGCCATGAACCGCAGCCGCAGCAAAACCTGCGTCACAAGCAATGCACTCCATGAATCTCCGTGACACGGCTCCATGGCAGGTCTGCCTTTGTTGCCATGTTGCATGGCACTCGAGACACAACTGTTGCCATGTTCAAGAGTATGGAAACAATGCGACAAGGGCCAAGTCTCACAGCCAACTGTCCAAACGCTTCAGTTTCTGCTTGAAAGGCTAGCGGCTACCGGTTTTCTCTATGCACACACGTCCAAAATGGTCCTCAAAGGCTCAAGGCATGGTACACCAACTGTCCCCCGTTCCAGGCATACCCAGCCCGTGGTTCTCCACCTTCCCCTCATAGCCAAAGGTGATCTCTGAGCCACGTCGCAGCGGGGCTTCCCGTCCTGCTGTCAAGCAGGACCACTCACAGAATCGGAATATCCGCCGGCCCGCACAATTTTTTTTGAACCAAATCCATCGGCCTGTTGTGGAAGGCACACTGTTAACATCTGTTAACAAATGATTGCATGTTGCTACCGCTGATCCACTTGCCTTGCGGAAGTGAAAAGCCCCCTGTGGAGGAAATGAGTCTTCCCACTCCTTATCCTCGTCCATATGAGTTTATATGAATCAAACACGGTAACACCTGCGCTGGTCACCCAGGCTGGTCCCTGATGACCCTTCTTGAGCACTCCAGTGAACTTGGCACCTCGCTCCAAGAGCTGTCCATCTACCAGCCTTGGGCAAGACAAGCTGCCACGACTTGCAAAAAAAGATCAAAAAAGGACCTCTTGACAACGGACCGGGCTGGAGATGTAACAAGCCTTTCACGCCCACGTCAGCAGAAAAGCTGGAACTACACGGAAGTGACAATCAAGTGGGACTGTCGGGTCTACGACCACAGGAGAAAAGCCTGTACCACTTGAGATCACTATCCAAATCGCCATGAGACCAGTTGGGGTGTTTTCACGGGGTTGCCTTAGATCCACCCATGAGGGATACCGGCCGACAGGCCTCTCTGGGCCTCCAAACAAAGGGTTGGAGCCACAGGCCAACAGCTTCGCCTGACGCGATGGCACGATGAAACTGTCTGAGATATCTGTAGAACCCCCCTGCGATGTGTCAGCTGCAGTCCTATAGTCTATGATCAAAATCATCTCACTTACTATTTTCTGGCTACGTCTTCGACAATAGCGCGTGAAATGAAATGACATCTGACTTACTTGTGCAATCAGGAAGTCTTTCCGGGCATGGCTCAACTCAACCCGTCCGGCGCCTCACCAGAGGAGTCCCATTGAATCTGAGCGTTCGACAAAGGTCGAGAACGTCAAAGTGCCAGGCATGTCACGCAGCACCCATCAACAGCAATTCACCCCGCGGCACTCCGTGAAAAACGACTGAGAAAAAACATGTGTACGAAACTCAAATAATGAGATACGGTACAGTATGTATTTTAACGCAGCTGGATATGCGCTGGATATGCGCACCTCGATTGCTTTGCGAGAAAGGTAGCAAGCACGCCTCAGTCGGGTCTATGAAAGGATGCAGCAATATGCAGCACATTTCACAAACATATTCAAAGACTGACAAAGGCTTCTACCATCTCCTTTGTTACATGATTTTCCTCCGCCTTTCTCTGTTAAAATCTTTAAGTAGATAAGTAGCTTCTGTACCCTTAAGTTTTGGTACACCAATCTCTGAGCCATTGGCGGTGTTGGCAACCAGGCCTCGAAAATCGAACTTTGTAGATCTCGCCCGACCTGGCAAAAGGACGGCTTCATCTGTGTGGAGAATGGGAGAAAATCTGAACTCTGGGAAAAAGAAGGGCCCATTTGAAGAGTTGCGTTTGTAATGTTCAAGAATCAAGCTTCAGGGTTGGCAACAGCACCTGTCCAACCGGTTTGTGGAGCGGCCCCCCGACCACCCCCAAGGTCTTGGCCCAATCAGTGAAATGTGGGAGGCAGTGAAGATGAGACGGCGATCGGCAGGAGATAGAGACTATGTGTAAAAGTGGAGGACTGCAATTGGAGAGCAATTGAAGATTGCATACAACTAGTGTCAAAAAAGAATTGTCAAACGTGATCGAAGGCGAGGGGTGAGCCACATGCAAAGACCTCCCCGAATTTAACAGTTCTTCTGTACAGGGAAAAGGCTGAAGTAGCCCAGAGGACCACAGGACGAGACCACCAGGGAAAGAACTTGGCAGCCAACAGGGCCAACAAAATGCTGTAATTCTACGTGCTGCCACTGCTCCACATCAAGATCGATAAGCTCTTGAGCTCCCAACAGCTGCTGAGTTGAAGCTGCCTCAGTGCTCACTTCCGATCTCCAGAACAGCATCGCTTCCACAAGCAAACAGGGTCGCAACAAGTGTGCCGAGCCACACTTGTTGCAAACACCAGTAAACATGTGCAACACAAAAATGGCACCGGGAGCCCCAGGCTTGCATGCGAACAATATGCAACACACATCCAAAAGCTGCTATCCACCATATAGTTCAGGAAAACCCGTAGGTTGCTGGGTCTTGCTTGTTGAGCCACATCTAGCTTCAGTTGAATCTGAACCGGGTCCCCACACCAGTGCCTCGCTTCAAGGGGAGGTACCGCCTCAACCACTTCCGTCGCAAATCGAAGATGTCAGGACTCGGAGCTTCATGCCGGTCCTGTCGTCCATAATTGTCAAATGTGTGCATCGAAGGACTCCATGCATCCTTCAATGAGCAGAATGTTGCCATTGGAGCAGTTGATCCTGAGCTGGCAGCCAGTTCGAAGCCAAAGCCTGAGAGGCCCCGGTGCCCGATCGACGGCCAAACAGCGACCAGAGGCCTGAGACAAGAAATCTGGACATGAAGAAAAGTTACTAATCAACATAATATAACTATATATATATGTTTATATGCGAACGGATGGAAAGGTGTGCCCTGGCCCCGTTCTAGCTCTTAGGTCAACATGAAGCTCGCGCGCTAAAGCTCCTTTTTACCTGGTTGGGCACTTGAGCCAAAAGTATATGGCATGTACCTGTATAGCGACTATACTGGGACCCCATCCCTATTGACACCCCCCACATCCGTACTTCGACGGGGAAGGGAGATGAGTGGATGTAAAAACCGGAGAACGAATCGTGTTCTCAAAAGTGTATTGGAGGTCAACCAGTATGTCCTATTGAATCGAATTAGCAAAAGATCTTGCATTCGCTTGAAAGTTGGATCAAACAGGTAATGGAGCTACAAACGGAAAACGTGCACCTACCTATGGTATCATGCGATTACCAACGGTGTGAAACACAATCCTATCTCACTCCCATGATGCCAAAACGGACATCATGAATTACCCAAGATCCCTCAGTACTTGAAGTACCGGAAGTGGCATGTCGGTATGACCCCACTGCTCAACCATTCGTGAGTTGTCGCATGTAGTCAGCGCCGACAAAGCCAATGTAGTCCTTGATGAGCTCAACGTTCCTTGGGTTTCCCGCTCGGATCTGCTCCTCGAAGGACTTCAATTTCTGTGCTTGAATAGTGGATACCTCTATGCCATAGTAGCGGCATGCAACGAGGATCTCCTTCGTGACATTCTTCCTCTCCGATTTGATGGCGGGACTAATGTCGATGAATTTGTATGGAGCGGCATTTTCGTCATCTGGTTTCTGGTAGTAACTATACCGGCTCGCTCCGAAGGTCTTCCTGATCAAGCGTCTGATGAAATTTGAGATGAATGCCAGTTTCTCGATGATCTCTTCCTGGGTCTCAGACCTTCGAGCCTTTGGATCACTCATGTTACGCCGAGTGCTGCCGACCTCTTTGAGGTACTTGTGGCTAAGCCCGCAGCGGATTGCAGTGATCATCATCGGGTGAACAACGTGGGCGTGGAATTCATAGATCTGCCACGCTTCTGCTGCATACACGTCGTCGGTCCATCGGCTCATGCCTACGACCTCGGCTCTCTGGAGACGTCTTGGAAACCCAGTATCCGGATCATTCGGTACTATCGGCCATCTATTGTGCGGAGTGTCATGCCGCTGTCCATCGTCGAACATTCGCAGTACATCTTCACGACTTTCAAAGCAGTTGATGTCGAACGTTGCGTTGGCCAAGCTCTTGATCAACTTCATCAACCTCAGATCAAATTGCTGTGTGACGGCAAAGTTGTGGTCGATGGGGATCGCAGCTTCTTGCGGCAATTCATCAATTGCGAAGGGGAAAGGCTGTGGCAGTTCATTCCCGTATCCATCTTGAGGGACCTCCCGATATTCGGGTTCGCCTTCAGCTTCGTCCGGTCGTTCCTTCAAAATGATAGGAACTTCCTCCTCTTCCTCTCCTTCGGATTCCTCGATCTCAATGACCTCTTCGGCTGTCTTGCGTGCGTTCTTGATGACTTCATCGATGTTTGCACCTGCAGCAGAAGTTGTTTCACCGGAAGAACTGGCTGGGACATCTTTTGGAGGTGATCGTTGATTGCGGTCCCTTGTCTCCTTGGGTACCGCGTGCGTGAGCTTCCCATTCGCGATCAAAACCGCTACGCAGTGCGGACATATCGTCAATCGCACATCGACTTCGCCAAGACAGTTAGGACACGGTCTTGAGTCATAGTCTTTCATTGCTCGGCGGTACACGATCTCCTCAAAGATTTCCTGCCACTCGGTGCTATCATATTCTGGATAGACACCACTTTCCTCGATCATACCCAACAGCTTTGAGATTTTGGCGTCGTCCTCGGAGTAGGTATCGTCCTGAACCTCAACCGCTAAACTCTCAAGCTTTTGAAAGCGTGGAATCATGATCGGGTTTCCGTATTTGGACTCCAGAACAAGGTAGCTTCCAGGGTCGGGTTCCCTATTGAGTAACCGGATCCATTCGATCTCCTCAGGCTGTCCGGGTTCCGCATTGTCGCATTGCAACCATGCCCCTTTAACCTCATCGAAGGGAACGACGTTCTCAACCAATAGAGAGCCAGTCGCTGAGATGAGAAGTCCGTACTCCTGCAGCTTCCACACCGGAATGTAGAGAACCACCGGGCGATCACTCAATGCGACCTTACGACCCAGCCAAGGTTTTCCCTTGTAGCCCTGCTCCCAGGCCCATGGCGGAAAACATGTGAAGTGGATAGAATCCCTTCCCGATGAACCGAGACCTCCTGGCACTAGCCCTCGTCGCATGATTGAAGTCAGCGCTCCGAGATTGGTAGCGTGAAATGCAGTCACCATAGATAGGGCCATGTCGTTGGTCATTCTCGATCCAATGTGGTCGATGTTAATGGTAACGTCATAACCTCCGCCGTCCGTTGAGTGTGCCGAGGTTGCTCTTACAGCCACGGGAAAGCACCATCCATCGCTATGGTGGAGTCTTCCTTTAGAGATTCCCATGTCCTTGAGTTCGTCAATCCATTCCTTCTCCATCGGGTCATCGGGGTCATTGAGTTCATCAGGGTGAACGCGGACTGCCAGCATTTGGAATCTGACCCTCTTGGTTATGCGGAAACACTCATAGTTCTGGTCGAAGTACTTCTCCAAACGCGCCTTCTTGGTCACGATATCTATGTTGCCATAGTGATAACCGTCTTCCCAAACTGCGTTATCACCTAACAGGTCTTCCCATGACACCCATGCGCCTTCATCGCATTTGATTGGTGCAAGTCTTCCCCCTGTCCTGAACTGGCGTCCAATTCGATGTCTCAACTTCGCTCCCAATCGACGACTCAGGGCCTGGCTCGCTTGGCTGTATTCAGGTACTCGACAGTCTGGAGTCGGATACTTGTGGTTGCCGTAGTCGGAGTTCTTTGCAGCGAAAGTGACTCCGTTGATCGGTACTAGTTCAACTTTCCCGACCATCGTCATGGGGTCGATCGGCTTGTATCCCTTCTCCCTCCGTGTTGGTAGGGGATAGAAGTGATGACATGCCTTTGGTGTGAGGGAACTGGAGTGCACAAATGCCTTCTCTACAAATTCGTACACCACTCTCATATCCCTAGGGCCTGCCTCCGCAAGCTTCCGCCCATTGTAGGAATGTGGCCCTCCTTCGACTCCATCGGCACTTTCGATCAGGGTGAATCCGTCATGATCGAACATTGTCACGACTCTTGCTTTTAACATCTCTTTTCGCCTGAACTCGCTGTCGACCTTCCTATCTGGAGTGGGCGATGCTCTCTGCTTCTTCTTCTTAGGCTCCTCGGTTGGATGTCCAGATGGTACATCGTCGGGTGCAACCTCTCCCTTCACTCTCTTCTTCCAATCACTCAACACTGAGGTGACTGTAGGTGAAGATGAAGGGGTCTTCTCGCAATTGAGAGTTGTGTGTCCCGACTTCATGCAGTGGATGCAGAATTCTGCTTGCCCGATCTTCTTCTCAAATTCGTCGATGGCTTGCAGTATTGATGTCTTCGGGTCGGACATGTCAACATCTTGCTCCTCCTTCTCCTGTCCACAATCAGTTTCCATATCGACACCTTCGGCCTCGGGCTGGTCAGTGGCTTCTGTTCCCTGTTCTGGTTCTTTCCCAATTTCGAAGAAGTGGTCGATGTCGAATTCAGGAGGCGGCATGGTCCTCATGCGAACTAGAATCAGTGCCACGTTTGCCGCCTCATCAGAGTGCGGGTCCAAGGTTCTGATCGTCGATCGCTTTCGGTTCTCATACGTTGTCCTGTCGTACAGCGATGCAGTGACGCGTTTGATGGATTCTTCTAATCCCGTCCTCAAAGCTTCGATGTCACCCCATCCCCTGAACATATGCCTGAAGAGTTGAGCAATTTCAAACATGCCCAGCAGCGCTTCCACCATGTCACCTACCCGTTCCTCCGTGGGATCATCTCCGAATATGGTGCGGAATACATCGGGCTCCAGTATGGTCTTGAGGTATTTGGTGTAGCATACGTTGCCAAGGTCATAGGATCCCTGGTAGTACTTGGCGCTGCCGATTATCTGCTTTTCCACATGGATGCTGGGTCCTCTCCTCGTTTTGAAGAAGTTCTCCGTCATTGTTGATGACAACCTGATCCCCCCGAAGAACGAAATCTCCTTCTGGAAACCTGGATTCTCATTAAAGATGATCATCGCCTCGTGTAAGAACTTCATCAAGTCATCGTGCGGGTTCATCTCGGAGATCATGACGGTGGGAGAAGATACCGTTTGTCCCATGCCGAAGTTGTGAAGCAATCGCGCACATGCGTGGAATCGCTTCTGGACGTAGTCTTCTGCGGACATCCCACGGCATCTATTTGCTGCTCCGTTGATGCATTCTGCATAGCAATCGTCTTTCAAATCGGAGTCTATGGGATGGCAGACCAGACAGTAATCGCAGCAAATTTCCTCACCCTCCTTGAAGTCATCAATGACGTACCATCTTTGAGTCCTCGAGTATATTGGTTCTGGCTGAAGGACTCCCCAGTACTCATCCATCCATGGCATTTTGTTCTCTCTCCTTACCTTCTCCCTCTTCCTCCTCTCAGACTCATTCTCACCTGAAGGCTCCGCAGTGGACTGATATGCATGGCTTCCTCTTACGGAATCTCCGAACAAGTACTGATACAACCTCTCTTTGTCCTGCAACACGTGTTCCAAGTTGGGATCATGGAGGCTATTCGCTTCGGTCAAGGGATCCGGTGCCATAAAGCAAGAAGCGAGCATCTTTTCTCTGAACAAGTACTTTTCCATGACAGCGTGGACCAAAGAGGTTCCAGACTTCATAGAGTAGGGGTGACCGCTTCCGGCGACCGAAATGGCCCGCCAGAATCTGTCCGACGTTGTGGACATCATGCCATTCAGCGATAGCTCGTCCTTGATCATGT